TGGCTCCTGGTGATAGGATATTAATAAAAAATATGTTTTTTCTCTACTTGCCGCAGATATTTTTCCTTAGTGTGCCACTAGTCTAGTTGGCCCGCCGTTTTCTACACCCTACTAAACCGATCCTGTTTGCCTTAGGATTCAATTGTTAATCTTTTTTGATGATTTGTTTAATAATTTATCCATGATATCGTTAACAAACGAGAGAAATATATATATATATATATATATATATATATATATATATATATATATATATATATATATATATATATATATATATATATATATATATATATATAAGATCGTTTCATCAGCTCTTTAAACTACCCTTTCCTTCTTTATCAGAAATTTATATTTGTTCTGGGTTAGTCTCCCAGTATTCCTGTGTCCCAGGTGGTCACCCGTTGGGGGGTTTAGGACCACCTGTGGCCAGGTGGTCACACCCGCGGCTTCGCTACCCCGTGGTAGTCTAGCCTAACTGCCGAAGAAGACAGGTTTAGCGGCTGAAAAACGTGACAGTTTCCTATCAGTTTTCAATGTGGCTTTTCCCCCGCGGCCTTAAATTAGTGTGTCGCGATCGTTGTTACTTGTATATACTGTTCCTTTCTTTCCTTTCACACCTCGCAGTCTCCTACCCACCTTCCCTCCCACCTCTCAGTCTCCTACCCACCTTCCCTCCCACCTCACAGTCTCCCACCCTCCTTCCCTCCCACCTCACAGTCTCCTACTCACCTTCCCTCCCACCTCTCAGTCTCCCACCCTCCTTCCCTCCCACCTCACACTCTCCCACCCTCCTTCCCTCCCACTTCACAGTCTCCCACCCACCTTCCCTCCCACCTCACACTCTCCCACCCACCTTCCCTCCCACCTCACACTCCCACCCTCCTTTCCTCCCACATCACAAGTCAGCATTTCGTAAGACTCGCCAGGATTCATTTATTTTTGTGAGCCTGTGACGGCGCAATTAAGAATTTAATTGCGCCGTCACAGTAGAGGGAAGCTGTGACGGTGTAAGTAAGAATTGTGTAATTCTTAATCTTAATAATTTATTTGTATCTTGTGCAGCGGTTGGGACATTATATTTTTGTGTGTTTGTGTGTTTTGATAATCAATTTGAAAAAAAAAACCAGTTCTCTAAACTAATTCTATTTCTCTAACTAATTCTCAGTAACTAATTGAGAATTTTGAGAATTAGGGGTAACTGAAATAACATGGATTTTAATTCATTGTATCGTTTAAATTTCTTGTTAAGTTTAAGTTTTTAATTGAACTCTTTGAATTTATTGAATTGTTCTAATTTGGTTCGTTGTTCAAATTTAATTCCTTGTTCAAATTGAATTTCTTGTTCAAATGTAATTCCTTGTTCAAATTTAATTCCTTGTTCATATTTATTTTGAAATTGAATAACTGAATTACAAGATCCGGTTAAATTCCTTGTATTATTTGATTTCCTTGAATCGGTTGATATCCTTATATCAACTGAATTATAACTTCGAAATTTGTAGTTCTGACAGTTCCTGCGAGGGCGCTGGAACCAATCATATTGCCGTTTGTATTTCCATTGGACACATTAGGCGCCGTCGAGAGGGGGGGGGGGGCGGACCTGCTGCATGGGTGACAGCTTCTCTCCCGTCTTCTCTACTCTACCTTTGCGCCCTGGAGAGGCCACTCCAGACCGACAACCAGAGCGCAACTCCATAGTCTCCTGAGATCGATGGATGCCTACTACAAGTATCAATTTAATTTCTAATCTCATTTATGCTTTTACTTGCGGAAAATCCACAGAGAAACGTCTAATGCCCAAACGTCTAATGCATTGTATCTACATACGAGTTTATGCGATCACAATATTAACTGGAATGGGGCAAAAAGCATTACCAATTGTGGGGATTTCGTGGAACGGAATTTGATTGAGTCTGCTCTAATCAGTCAGTGTCCAAATCTTCTTAATGTTAGTACTGGAATGTACAAACTTGATCCATTTTTAAGTTATAATATTGCACAACAGTTTAAGAAACAACTCTGATAGAGAGGCTTACAATGTCTCATTATAATTGTATATTCATATATTGTGTGTTCATGAGGCTTTTCTTTAATCTTTCATCCTTATTATCTGACCGCTTAATCCTCTTTGACCATTTTAAGCTAAGCTATACCTGATTTTGGTTAATTACACCTGACCAACCCTAGGGATGGGTTGGTCAGGTGTCGGCCTATATATCCTCCCCCTTCTCCCTTCTCTTTAGTCAGTCTGGTGTTGACAAAGGCTTTAACAAAGCCGAAACGTTCACCTCATTTCATATTTCTCTGTGGATTTTCCGCATAAAATGATCAGTGTTTTGTGATCGTCAATTGCATGCTTTTACTTATTGAATTCCTTGTATAAACAATATATATAAATCAACTCTTTGAATTAACTGAATTCATTGTATTAATTTAATTCCATATTCAAATTAAATTGTTGTATTTAATTCCTTATCAACTGATATCCTTTGTATAAATTGGGTGTGTTTCAGTATAGTATATTACTGTATATATCATGGAATTATATTCCATTAGTTAATATATCATACTAAATTTCTGTTTCATATCACATTATATTCATCCTACACATATTCCCCATTAAATTCCTAATCCTTCATTCCCATATTCCGATTCCCACATTACCTTTCCCACATCATATTTCTACTGTTTCCCTATTCCGAATCATCCTCTTAAAACATTTCATTGTTACAGTGGCAGTGATGACTTCAGTGACAACAGCGATGACAACATGGACAAAGGTGTGAGAGCAGTGACAATGTTTGTAAATGCAGTGATCACAATTGTTGAAGCAGTGACATCATTCGTGACGTCAGTGCCCACATGCGTAGTGACAGTGACAGACGGGATGTCATCAGTGGCATCAGTGACGCCCTCAGAGAGAGAGAGACACGGGTCGTCTAGTATCGTAACGAGATTATGTCTCTCGACTTGCTTCTCTGAGTAAAAACTTCGCGAGATTTTCCTCACATTCATCTTGGAATAATTAAGTGTTTGGATCAAAAGGAAACTTGTACTGAATTCATTCAATTTAAAAACCATTTCGGCATGAAACTTTATTTTTCTCAGATAAAATAACTTTTTGGACTGGATTATCTTGAAATAATCCCCTTTCTTTTTCATGTAGAGAAACTTTGGAGACTCTGTGATTATGGAATTGAAGATTTAGAATAAAATAAATAACTAAATGAGGGCAATTCTTTGATAAAGAATGATGCAGACCATATGCAGAGACCATATAAATTCCCTGTTGAAAAACACATTTGAAATTTTATTCTGAAACATTTTTAAAATTATGTGTTTCATATTTCTTGAAATCCAATAAGAGAAACAGCCAAAAATATAAATATATTGTTGGCATATACTTAGAAATTGCCATAAAAATAATCTATGATAGAATTATAATTTTTTTAACTTTTTGTAATATTTTACTATTCTCAAATATTAAAATAGTCAACAGCTAATTGTTTTATTAAATTATTATTTTATGTATTTATATATGACTCGTATTTCTCTTCATTTCTCGAGGGGGTTATTCTCGTCAGGTTAATGTTTCAACTAAGACCCGAGTTTGCTCCCAACCTGCATGGTTTCCTTCCTGGAAGAAGCACTCAAACTTGCTTTGCTGAATATTTCATTAGACAGGGACCAAGCTCTCAGGAGGCATTTATTGATCTCCAAACTGCTTTTGACGAAAAAAAAACAGAGAAATATTCTGAGAGCAACTGGCCTCTTTTGGAGTTAAGGGAAGACGGTGGATATAACTCCAAAAGATACCAGAGCAGAAGAATTGCCTGAGTTCTTTTCAAGGGGCTCAAAATTATAAAAATTCTTTCAAGGGGCTCAAAATTATAAAAATTCTTTCAAGGGGCTCAAAATTATAAAAATTCTTTCAAGGGGCTCAAAATTATAAAAATTCTTTCAAGGGGCTCAAAATTATAAAAATTCTTTCAAGGGGCTCAAAATTATAAAAATTCTTTCAAGGGGCTCAAAATTATAAAAATTCCTCCGATTGAGTTGGGTTGACCCCAGGGTGGAGTTACCCCCAACACTGTTAATGTTGTCCAGATGTCCAGATGCACAAATTAATAATACAAAATTATATATATGTTTTGTTCTAGGGTAAAAAAAACAACTTAATATCAAAACTATATATATTAAAAGAAATAGATATGGGTGGGTTGTGGAAGGACAACCTGGAGGCTGCACACACACACACAGGTCGACGATAATATGTGCGCCTTGGTTGTCCCTTCCTGGAGCATACAATCTCCTGTACAACATATAATATTACGCTCGTACATGTACATAACACATTTGCTTAATGCTTCAACGCATTGTGTGTGTGTGTGTGTGTGTGTGTGTGTGTGTGTGTGTGTGTGTGTGTGTGTGTGTGTGTGTGTGTGTGTGTGTGTGTGTGTGTGTGTGTATGTTTTATTGAATAGGAATTACTGTGTTAGATTAGATCAATAATTTTAGCAGGGATCATCACTATATCCCCTTAGGCCTGCAAACTTCCTATTATAACTTGGTCTGTCACTAAAAGATGCGTTTCGTTGAAACTCTACATCTCCGGCGACAAAGGAGAGTGTGTATGCATTTGTGCATGTGTATGTATGCACGTATGCATGTATGTATGTATGTATGCATGTGTGTATGTATGTATGTATGTATGTATGTATGTATGTATGTATGTATGTATGTATGTATGTATGTATGTATGTATGTATGTATGTATGTGCGTGCATTGTAGATGAAGAGTAATGCATATGAATTTATGCGGTTCAATAACCTAATGCTTCAACGCATTCCATATAAAATGTATTTATGCATCTATATGCATGAAAGTATACCTTAAGAAATATATATATATATATATATATATATATATATATATATATATATATATATATATATATATATATATATATATATATATATATATATATATATATATGTATATATATATGTTTACATAATATTGATTATCACCAAAAGGCAGTAAAATAGGGTTACATAAAGAAGCCCTGATTTGTAAGTTCGTCGTTTCTATTCGACCCATTTATCATTTCTCACTATTTCTGACTTAAACTGAAGAGGATGTTTCTCTCGAGGACAGTTTAACATATTTAACACTTTTTAAATTGACCTGCTTTAGTTTAACATTCGGAAAAAGATAAAATCCGTCTTGGCCCATGTGTCTTAAACTATTACAACTTTTTATTTACAAAATGCACAATGATAATTAGCTTTAACACACACACACACACACACACACACACACAGTTTAAACAGGACCGGATACAGTAGTCAGCTTTAAGTTACCGTTGATTGAGTCGATCGTCTTAATCTTGGTCGGGACATCAGGTGTTCATTTCTGCAGGTAACTGTGAGATTTGGGCAATATGTCTTGTCGAGCTTCAGTGGTGGAGACTGTCAACAGGTGCGGCTGTCAGTGGTGGAGACCATGGATAGTAGTAGACACCATTGGGTCCTCACAAACAGGTACTATCAGCGGTGAATACCATCAATAGTAGGTATCATGATCAGTGAAAATGTTCACCATAAGACATCATCAAATTAGTTGTCCATCACTTTTGTTAATCAACACTGGTGGAAATCTTTAACAGAATACAAAATATTTCATCACGAAAGAACAGTGGTGGAGAGAGATAGCTATAGCGACCCCTCACTTGTTGAGACAATTGATTTAGAAAATCTCCATTATGCAATACATAAATAAACACTAAACAAACACTGTCCTCCTGTATGTGACCTTTACTGTTTCATCACTTCATTCATCTGGAGTTTTGGGGTCATCACAGAATATGTGAAATTATAGAGAACATTTTTTGCAAAAAAATTTCATTATGCCAAAAATTGCCAGATTTTCAAACATATGTAAAAGATATTTCTATAAATTTCTGTAATATATAATTTTATATATTTTCACACAAATAAGTTAAATAATTGTACCCAGTGACACAATAACAATATTAAACACAATAACTATCACAGAAAATTAGTTATTGTTCATTACGATGAGATAAGTAGACAACATAAAGTTCTCAAACAGACATCAGTAATGTATTAATAAAAGTCTCAACTGGAATATTTCATTGAACAACATATACACGACTATCTTCCAGGAAGTCTCCGCCTGGCTAGGTTGCCAAAGAGCCAGTCGGGCGAGGCGCGACTCACCAGCAAGGCCTCCGTCTCCCACGCCAGCAGCAGCAGCAGCAGCAGCAGCAGCAGCGGTAGGCCAGCAGGCAGAGCCGTACAAGCAGACGCGTTCGTGGTTTTCGTGGTGGAGGCGCTGCCGCCATTGTTCCCCGTCCCGTGGGACTTGGCGGCGGCTTTCGCTTCTGAGGGGAAACAACACAGTAGACATGTTACATGAAATATTTAAACTCGTGGTGAAGGTAAGTTAATTGGCTGTAGAGAGCACTGAGCAAGTATAACTGTAGTAACACATGGAAGGGATATGAGGACAAGAAGCTGGGTTATGAGGACAAGGAGCTGGGTTATGAGGACAAGGAGCTGGGTTATGAGGACAAGAAGCTGGGTTATGAGGACAAGGAGCTGGGTTATGAGGACAAGGAGCTGGGTTATGAGGACAAGAAGCTAGATTATGAGGACAAGAAGCTTGGATATGAGGACAAGGAGCTGGGCTATGAGGACAAGGAGCTGAGTTATGAGGACAAAGAACTGGTTTATGAGGACAAGAAGCTGGGATATGAGGACAATGAACTGAGATATGAGGACAAGGAGCTGGGATATGAAGACCAGAAGCTGGAATATGAGAACTAGGAGCTGGGATGTGAGGACAACAAGCTGCAATAGCTGCAAGTTCCTTCATCGACGAAATGAAGGAACGAGGCGCAACTACTTAGACCATTGAGGATTGAACCCCGACTCTGCATGAATCAAGGTCGACTCTGTCAACAGCACACATCAAAGAAAAATATATGTAAAATAATATAATTTAATAAAACTAGGGTAAAATATACTTAAACTTAATCAAGCTTCCAGACCCAAAGCACATCATTAGGTGATTAGATTCTCGTATGTGTCTACCAAAAACTTAGGATGTCGACCAAAAGCTTGGGTTGTCGACCAAAAGCTTGGGTTGTCGACCAAAAGCTTGGGTTGACGACCTAAAGCTTGGGTTGACGACCTAAAGCTTGGATTGACGACCAAAAGCTTGGGTTGTCGAGCAAAAGCTTGGGTTGACGACCTAAGGCTTGGGTAGACGACCAAGCTATCATTTATTCGGAGTTCTACAGAATACATGGCGATTTATTCACGTTATAACTCCAGAGTCACTCATTTTTTGAGAAGGTTCATGGCGGAGATTAGGTAATTATCAGGAAAAGTGGTAAGTCGAACTCTGTAGCCTAGGCACGTGGGTGAGGGGGGGGGGGTGTGGATGTAAACGGGAGCGTGGCCAGGATTCATCACGGCCACTTAAGAGAGTTGTTCCTCTTACTTCGATAATGGCAGCTTAGTCTGCATTTATTACACAGTTTACGACCTCCAGAGCACTACGAGGTCGTCCATAGTAATACTATCCATGGGGTGAGGACGACCTCCGCAGCGCCTTGGAAGTTGTAAAGTATCTATAGAGGCTAGAGCCTAAAGAGTCATGACTGAGGGAAGAGCAGGAACGCCACTAAGTGTATTAATGAATCCTGGACCCACCTTTTTGGCCGGGAAACTCCTGCGCGCGGGCCTTATGCCTCTGGCTGGCCTACTAAATGTTCCTTATTTCAGTCTTACTTAGGCCCTGGACGGGTGTCTATGATTCGTCTGTTGGCCTCAGGGAGCCGGTCGGCCGAGCGGACAGCACGCTGGACTTGTGATCCTGTGGTCACGGGTTCGATCCCGGGCGCCGGCGATAAATAAGGGGCAGAGTTTCTTTCACCTTATGCCCCTCTTACCTAGCAGTAAAATAGGTACCTGGGTGTTAGACAGCTGTCACGGGCTGCTTCCTGGGGGTGGAGGCCTGGTCGAGGACCGGGCCGCGGAGACACTAAAGCCCTGAAATCATCTCAAGATATAACCTCAAGATAAGGAAGGGTATGTTCAGGGTGTTGAACCTAGTATTGACCAGCAGGACTAATGAGTTGTTCACTAATTGCCATTTTCCTCTTTGTAGCGGGGAATGGTGCGCAATTAGCCACGTCTAAACGACCGCCCTAAGTGGTTAATAATTTGCCTGTGACGATATCTGGTGGTCCTGGCAAGACGTGTTGCTCGCAGGTACACACGAAGTACAGGTAATGTGTAACTAAATGTTTTACTGTAATGAGCGTCTAAAGATTTGTAATACTTTTGGATATGATATTGAGATAAACTTCTGATTATATATATATATATATATATATATATATATATATATATATATATATAACTGAAAACTCACACCCCAGAAGTGACTCGAACCCATACTCCCAGAAGCAACGCATCTGGTATGTACAAGACGCCTTAATCCACTTGACCATCACGACCGGACATAATGAGGTGATAGCCGAGGCTATTTGAACCACCCCACCGCCGGCACTCGGATAGTTATCTTGGGCATAGCATTTTACCAAATCACCTCATTCTTTGGGGCAACACGTGAGGAACACAAATGCGAACAAGCCTGAATGGTCCCCAGGACATATGCAACTGAAAACTCACACCCCAGAAGTGACTCGAACCCATACTCCCAGAAGCAACGCATCTGGTATGTACAAGACGCCTTAATCCACTTGACCATCACGACCGGACATAATGAGGTGATAGCCGAGGCTATTTGAACCACCCCACCGCCGGCACTCGGATAGTTATCTTGGGCATAGCATTTTACCAAATCACCTCATTCTTTGGGGCAACACGTGAGGAACACAAATGCGAACAAGCCTGAATGGTCCCCAGGACATATGCAACTGAAAACTCACACCCCAGAATATTCACACCCCAGAGACATATCAGTTGCATATGTCCTGGGGACCATTCAGGCTTGTTCGCATTTGTGTTCCTCACGTGTTGCCCCAAAGAATGAGGTGATTTGGTAAAATGCTATGCCCAAGATAACTATCCGAGTGCCGGCGGTGGGGTGGTTCAAATAGCCTCGGCTATCACCTCATTATGTCCGGTCGTGATGGTCAAGTGGATTAAGGCGTCTTGTACATACCAGATGCGTTGCTTCTGGGAGTATGGGTTCGAGTCACTTCTGGGGTGTGAGTTTTCAGTTGCATATGTCCTGGGGACCATTCAGGCTTGTTCGCATTTGTGTTCCTCACGTGTTGCCCCAAAGAATGAGGTGATTTGGTAAAATGCTATGCCCAAGATAACTATCCGAGTGCCGGCGGTGGGGTGGTTCAAATAGCCTCGGCTATCACCTCATTATGTCCGGTCGTGATGGTCAAGTGGATTAAGGCGTCTTGTACATACCAGATGCGTTGCTTCTGGGAGTATGGGTTCGAGTCACTTCTGGGGTGTGAGTTTTCAGTTGCATATGTCCTGGGGACCATTCAGGCTTGTTCGCATTTGTGTTCCTCACGTGTTGCCCCAAAGAATGAGGTGATTTGGTAAAATGCTATGCCCAAGATAACTATCCGAGTGCCGGCGGTGGGGTGGTTCAAATAGCCTCGGCTATCACCTCATTATGTCCGGTCGTGATGGTCAAGTGGATTAAGGCGTCTTGTACATACCAGATGCGTTGCTTCTGGGAGTATGGGTTCGAGTCACTTCTGGGGTGTGAGTTTTCAGTTGCATATGTCCTGGGGACCATTCAGGCTTGTTCGCATTTGTGTTCCTCACGTGTTGCCCCAAAGAATGAGGTGATTTGGTAAAATGCTATGCCCAAGATAACTATCCGAGTGCCGGCGGTGGGGTGGTTCAAATAGCCTCGGCTATCACCTCATTATGTCCGGTCGTGATGGTCAAGTGGATTAAGGCGTCTTGTACATACCAGATGCGTTGCTTCTGGGAGTATGGGTTCGAGTCACTTCTGGGGTGTGAGTTTTCAGTTGCATATGTCCTGGGGACCATTCATATATATATATATATATATATATATATATATATATATATATATATATATATATATATATATATACACACGAAGAGTGCAATGTTGAAATTTTTTACAGTTGAGAGCTAAGATTGTATCTATGTATATGTCATACCTAACAGCATGAACGCACTACTTAACCTAGTATGCTAGGCCCGATTTGCCTAACAGGCAGAGTGATTTTAGTTATTTACAAATGTTTCTTTTCAAATTAGTTTATTTGAATTATCATTATTATATTACATTACATGAATTACTGATAAGTTATTTAAGGAGAGGTAAGGTACCCTAACACTTCATTAACTCATATCCCAGGTGCTACATTTGAATATTAACTTAAAATAACTAACTATATTGATCTAGAAGTCTCTAACTTATCATGCACCTTGGAGGAGACGTACAGTAATATAGCAGTCTATTAATAAATAGGTAAATAGCTATTATGCACATAGCTACCTTATTAATAAAACAAAAATGCGTTTTATTTTGGTTGGTCTCGTAATCTGACGTATCTGGAGCCCACGTGAGACACAATCAACCATTATTACCACAGGACATATCTGCAGGATCTTGGGTAAGCCTGTGACAGCCAAGGACACCGAGAGGGAATTTCACTGTAAGGAGTTGGAATATTGGGTCGAGGAGCTGGAGAATATGAGGACTTGGTGCTGGGATATGAAGACAAGGAGCTGAGATTTGACGACCTGGATCACAGTATCCTAAGTGACTTATACCGAGCAGCAAGGAAACATTGCCAAATAACTTCAAGTTAAAAAATGGATAATGGCATTTAATCCAAAGGCTGCAGATCTTCTCGAGGATGCGAACCACAACGGTTGTCTAGCTCCTAGGTACCAATTTATTTTTAGGTGAGCAGAGACATCAAGAAACGTGCCCAACCGTTTCTGTCCAGCTCGGGGATGGACTGCAGGCCCCTGCTCTGTTTGCCGAGAACGTAGACTAGTGTGCTACGGGACGGGGTAAGGTAACTACGAGTAGAAAGCGCTAAACCATTACGACTCTGGATCACATGGAAAGGGTTTGGAGGATAAGGATTTGGGATAGGACTGAGGAAAGGAATGGTGCCCACCCACATGGACGGTTGGGGATTGAAAGCCGACCTGCAAGAAGCGGGGCTGCCGATATGACCGTCGAGACCAAGTGGTTGGGCGAGGTGATACAGGACGAGACGCAGAATATCAGCCGATCACAATAAAATTTACTGACGCTTTCATGCTAATACTTATTTTTTCTGTCTTAGTTATTATTTAAAAACAGTCATTCCGTAATACCAGAGCACCATGTACGAATACGTTAAGTGATGCCAGCTTTGTAATTAAAAGTCCAATAACAGCAGACTTAATCATTAAGTCTTTATTTTATAATTGTCGTTCCCGAATGACAACTGTTGTGTAATCTCACGAGTATATAATGCATCCACTAACTGCCTGGAAATTGAAAAAAAAAATCCATTAAAATTAAGCAAATAATTTCTTTCGAGTGAAGATGATTTTTACCTGTCCTCATATTAAGCTTACACCGTAATTTTGACGCTCTCGACAACGTCATAATATCGGTGTGTTAGTTAAATTACAACACCGCAGCAATATTGACGATTCCTTGGACAAATGATGCCCGTTGTCAACAAGTTAGGTCGGGCTGCCTTGTTTCGTACGTTTTTGAACCATTGTTCATCAAAGATTTACACACTTACGAAACCTGTACATCTTTCCTGAACCATAGCAGCTTGGTTTACATTTATTAAAGAGATTTTAAGCTTAGAAACTTCCCATTGTTATTATTGATATAATGAATCGCTTCGTGCTTCTGAGCTCATAATCTTTTTAATAAATGCAAACAAAGTCACCATAATATAGGAAAGATGAACAGGTTTCGACAATTGTTGTGTAAATACTTAAGGAATTCTGGCCCTTGTTATGCAGAAATACTACGAATTTGACGCAGGGTAAATCGACGGACGGATTTAAGAAGCACCTGAGCCCTAGGTGCACTGTTCTTGTGCTACCTGAAGATGTTACTTGGAGTATCTTCAGGTAACATCTTCATTCCTTACCTGAAGATGTTCCAGAGTGGAACTAAACGTTTGTGGATAATAAACTCTTCAATTATCACGAGAGTTTCACTATAAGATCAACAACGTCAGCAATGTGGTCATATATATATATATATATATATATATATATATATATATATATATATATATATATATATATATATATATATATATATATATATATATATATATATATATATGTCGTACCTAGTAGCCAAAACGCACTTTTTGGCCTATTATGCAAGACCCGATTTGCCTAATAAGCCAAGTTTTCCTGAATTAATATATTTTCTCTAATTTTTTCTTATGAAATGATAAAGCTACCAATTTCATTATGTATGAGGTCAAGTTTTTTTTATTGGAGTTAAAATTAACGTAGATATACGACCGAACCTAACCAACCCTACCTAACCTAACCTAACCTATCTCTATAGGTTAGGTAGCCGAAAAAGTTAGGTTAGGTTAGGTTAGGTAGGTTAGGTAGTCAAAAAACAATTAATTCTTGAAAACTAGGCTTATTAGGCAAATCGGGCCTTGCATAGTAGGCTGAGAAGTGCGTTCTGGCTACTAGGTACGACATATATATATATATGTCGTACCTAGTAGCCAGAACTCACTTCTCAGCCTACTATTCAAGGCCCGATTTGCCTAATAAGCCAAGTTTTCCTGAATTAATATATTTACTATAATTTTTTTCTTATGAAATGATAAAGCAACCCTTTTCTCTATGTATGAGGTCAATTTTTTTTTATTGGAGTTAAAATTAACGTAGATATATGACCGAACCTAACCAACCCTACCTAACCTAACCTAACCTATATTTATAGGTAAGGTTAGGTTAGGTAGCCAAAAAAAGCTAGGTTAGGTTAGGTTAGGTAGGTTAGGTAGACGAAAAAACATTAATTCATGAAAACTTGGCTTATTAGGCAAATCGGGCCTTGAATAGTAGGCTGAGAAGTGCGTTCTGGCTATTAGGTACGACATATATATATATATATATATATATATATATATATATATATATACATATATATATATATATATATATATATATATATAATATACGTATTAAAAACATAATTTATAGATATTGAAGAAAGAATTAATCTTAGCCGGATGATAGAGTAAGAACGTGTATTATTAATTTCCTTCAGCTCTATAAATTGAGGAAGGGTTGAGATAGCATACAAGTGGCGCCTTAAATATTCGTACTCATGGTGGGGGGAAAGTTCACCATCTGGTGTGATAAATGATTCAAGGAGCGGAGTCTGATCTCCGGGACAGAAGTGTATCTCCAGGCATCTCCATGAGTGATAGCACACTGTTCGGGGAAATATATTCTCATAATCATGGAGAGATTTTCGTGGAAATGGTGAACTCTTTATCTTTCTCTCTCTCTCTCTCTGTCTCTATCTGTCTCTCTCTCTCTCTCTCTCTCTCTCTCTCTCTCTCTCTCTCTCTCTCTCTCTCTCTCTCTCTCTCTCTCTCTCTCTCTCTCTCTCTCTCTCTCTCTCTCTCTCTCTCTCTCTCTCTCTCTCTCTCTCTCTCTCTCTCTCTCTCTCTCTCTCTCTCTCTCTCTTTCTCTCTCCCTCTCTCTCTCTCTCCCTCACTCCCTCACTCCCCCATCACCTCACCTGGTATAACATGGACCATAACAGAGGCCGGGAGGAACTTGGTGGGCCAGCAGGTGTAGTTGCCGGAATCGCCGACCCTGGCGCCCTGAATGACCAGCTTGCTGACCGTCTCGTTCTCCAGGTGCGTGCTGATGTCCACTCGGCCCCCGTCCTGCAGGATCTCCGCGTCCCGGTACCAGTACAGCAGCCCTGGAAGGCCGCCATTGATCACTGGTGGTACAGCATTTCTGAATACAGTGATGTACGGTTAGTGCTGCAGAGGTACAGCTTAACCTGGAGGTCAGCTGAAGGATTGTTGTATTCATATCACAAACCACACAACACAAACCACACAACACAAACCACACAACACAAACCACACAACACAGTTTGTGTTTGTGTGTGTGAAGGTTTGTTGTAGCCATACAACAAACGGTGAGCAAAGGTTTGGATTGTTCTACAGTCATACATAACAAACATGGAAGAGAGCTGTACTCATTTATTTGTGCTTGCGGGGATTGAGCTCTGGCTCTTTGGTCCCGCCTCTCAACCGTCTATCAACTGTTGTAAAGATTCCTGAGCCTACTGGGCTCTATCATATCTACATTTGAAACTGTGTATGGAGTCAGCCTCCACCACATCACTGCCTATTGCATTCCACCTGTTAACTACCCTGACACTGAAAAGGTTCTCTCTAACGTCCCTGTGGCTCATTTGGGTACTCAGTCTCCACTTGGGTGAAGAAGTTGTGAAGAAGGATGCAAGCCCCCCATCAAAAATAAAGCTTCAAGCTTAAATAAATTAAAGTTTCCAAACACTGGGATCTAACTCGGCCTCTCCTGATTCCCTTAACTCTCCACTTTAGGAAAAGCCATAAAAGTTTTCACATTAATATATGAATAATATATTAAAGTGGATGAATATATATTAAAGTGGATGAATAATATATTAAAGTGGAGACTATTTCGACCTTAAAAATGGCCTGCTTGTGCTGGTAATCAATGTCAATAATGCGGTAGCAACAGTTGACTCAACCCGCATATACATCTTAAATAAAGAGAACACTTGATTATTTTTTTCTCTTAAAAATATTGACAATTATTAGATATTCTGATCCCAATAAACATCTGAATTATGCAGTAAGACATTTCCCGGGGAAAAAAAGATAGAATCCTTTGGTTACTAAGGGGATCAAGTCATCTGTATTGCCTTTGTACGTTCCGATAAAAGCTCGCGCAAGCCAAACACCGCCAGAACCATGCACCAAATTAGAGAATGTTCAAAGGTATGCCACGAGACTGATGCCGGAGCTGAGAGATATATTTTGCGAGGAACGGCTACTGGAATTAAATCTCACGTCTCTGGAAAACAATATTAATGGAGGACGGGAAAGACATAATTACTACCGTCAAAATTATCAGAGGAATTGACACGGGTAAATAGAGACAGATAATTTTACACGGGTTTTAAAATGAACTAGGGGACACTGGTGGAAGCTCAGTACCCAAATGAGCCACAGAGACATTCTAATGAATTTCTTCAGTGTCAGAGTAATTAACAATTGTAATGCACTACCAAGTAATGTGGTGGAGGCACCATACACAGTTTCAAATGTAGATATGATAGAGCCCAATATTGGCTCAAGAACCTATACACCAGTTGATTGAGAGGCGAGACAAAAGAGTGAAAGCTCAATCCCCGCAACCATAAATTGGTGGGTACAAATACTTGGACGCTGTGAAGCTATAGAGGTGCTGCAGGAGGCTTACCTGGAGGCTGTGAGGCTATAGAGGTGCTGCAGGAGGCTCACCTGAAGGCTGGGAGGCTCACCTGAAGGCTGGGAGGCTATAGAGATGCTGCAGGAGGCTCACCTGGAGGCTGGGAGGTTATAGAGGTGCTGCAGGAGGCTCACCTGGAGGCTGGGAGGCTATAGAGGTGCTGCAGGAGGCTCACCTGGAGGCTGGGAGGTTATAGAGGTGCTGCAGGAGGCTCACCTGGAGGCTGGGAGGCTATAGAGGTGCTGCAGGAGGCTCACCTGAAGGCTGGGAGGCTCACCTGAAGGCTGGGAGGCTATAGAGATGCTGCAGGAGGCTCACCTGGAGGCTGGGAGGTTATAGAGGTGCTGCAGGAGGCTCACCTGGAGGCTGGGAGGCTATAGAGGTGCTGCAGGAGGCTCACCTGGAGGCTGGGAGGTTATAGAGGTGCTGCAGGAGGCTCACCTGGAGGCTGGGAGGCTATAGAGGTGCTGCAGGAGGCTCACCTGAAGGCTGGGAGGCTCACCTGAAGGCTGGGAGGCTATAGAGATGCTGCAGGAGGCTCACCTGGAGGCTGGGAGGTTATAGAGGTGCTGCAGGAGGCTCACCTGGAGGCTGGGAGGCTATAGAGGTGCTGCAGGAGGCTCACCTGGAGGCTGGGAGGTTATAGAGGTGCTGCAGGAGGCTCACCTGGAAGCTGAGAGGCTATAGAGGTGCAGCAGGAGGCTCACCTGGAGACTGGGAGGCTATAGAGGTGCTGCAGGAGGCTCACCTGGAGGCTGGGAGGCTATAGAGGTGCTGCAGGAGGCTCACCTGGAGGCTGGGAGGTTATAGAGGTGCTGCAGGAGGCTCACCTGGAAGCTGAGAGGCTATAGAGGTGCAGCAGGAGGCTCACCTGGAGACTGGGAGGCTATAGAGGTGCTGCAGGAGGCTCACCTGGAGGCTGGGAGGCTATAGAGGTGCTGCAGGAGGCTCACCTGGAGGCTGGGAGGTTATAGAGGTGCTGCAGGAGGCTCACCTGGAAGCTGAGAGGCTATAGAGGTGCAGCAGGAGGCTCACCTGGAGGCTGGGAGGCTACAGAGGTGCTGCAGGAGGCTCACCTGGAGGCTGGGAGGCTATAGAGGTGCTGCAAGAGGCTCCCCTGGAGGCTGGGAGGCTATTAAGGTGCTGCAGGAGGCTCACCTGGAAGCTGAGAGGCTATAGAGGTACAGCAGGAGGCTCACCTGGAGGCTGGGAGGCTATAGAGGTGCTGCAGGAGGCTCACCTGGAGGCTGGGAGGCTATAGAGGTGCTGCAAGAGGCTCCCCTGGAGGCTGGGAGGCTATAAAGGTGCTGCAGGAGGCTCACCTGGAGGCTGGGAGGCTATAGAGGTGCTGCAGGAGAGCTGGATGGTGCTGCCCGCTCTGACGTACCTCTGGTCAGACCCGTCCATCATAGTGGCAGCCTCTGAAGGTTAATATATTTATATATATATGAAAAAGAATGTGTCGATTTGTCTGTCTGTCTGTCTGTTTCTCTGTCTGTTTGTATGCCTGTGTGTCCGTCTGTCCATTTATAAAAATGGTCAGGCATTGTCTTGTTCAATTTCTATTGTAAACTTAATTAACTTTGCTAGATTATTTAATTCTAATAAAAATTTGAAAAGAATATCAAGTTTGTACTATGTAGAAAACCAATAAATGTTGGGTCTTAAGTACACTATTGTGTACTTTTTATGATATCATATATCATATATATATGATATCATATGATTAGTGCATTATTGTGTTTTTTTATGATATCTCATCATCAAAGAGAAAAACAAGCTGAATTTTTTCTTTGTTAATGAGTGTTCTAAGGATATGTTGACCTGAATTTATTGATGATGAAATTAGTGCCATATAAAGTTTGGGTTTCATATTAAAATACCCTCAGTCATTTATTAATAAAGCCAGCCAAATTGCTCCTAACACTTTCTTTAGTTTAAAAAAGTCATAAGAAGTAAATATTAAGAATACAAAAATTTGCTATTTCATGATAATTTCAATGAAACTTCATATTACTAAAAAGAATTAATATCAATGTAGCACTTAGAAATGTTGATATCATAAAAATCAATTTCATTAAAAATTCCCCAGGTAATTGCAAGGATAGTTGATAAGGTGACGAAAATAAGGCAAGACAGAGAAAGCTGGGCAGATAGTATATTTCTGAACTGCCAAAAACCCTTTAATACAGTACCCCGCAGGAAGTTACTATACAAACTGAGAGACAGGTGGGAGTATATAGAAACGCACTAACAAGGTTCAGGAATTACCTAACAAACAGGAGCCAGAGAGTGACAGTGAGGAACGAGAAGTCGGACTGGCGTTGAGTAACAAGCGGGGTGCCTCAAGGATCGGTGCTGAAACCCATACTACTCCTCATTTATGTAAATGATTTGACTGCACGAGTTCAGTCTTATATATCGATGTTTACAGACGGTGCGAAACTAATGAGGAGGTTTGAGACATACGAGGATTGTAAGATTCTCCAAGATGACCTGAACAAGCTATAGACCTGGGGCTATAAAGGCTGTTGGAGTTCAACACCAGCAAGTGCAAGGTGATGGAAAAGGAATCAGGTCCCAGGAACTCGAGAGCTGAACATTACAAGATGAAGAAAAACTACCTCCCGATAATGACAAGAAAAACAGAACTGGGAGTGGACGTAATACCAAACCTAACTCCTAAGGCACAAATCAATAGAACAAAGTCAACTGCATACCTACCGCTAGCCAAAATCAAAACATCCTTCAGTAACTTCAATAAGGAGGCTTCTATATCTCTGTATACCGCCTGTATTAGATCAGTTTTAGAGTATACCGTATCCTCGTGGAGCCCTATCTTAAAAAACCACATAAGGAAGCTGGAAAAGGTGCAGAAGTTTGCAACAAGACTTCCCAAAGTTGCGAGGGATGAGGTATGAAGAGAGAGTGAAGGAACTAATCCTGACGACGCTACAAAAGAGAAGGAAAAAAGGGGGTGGGGAGGGAAGGACATTTTACAGAGTATAAGATACTTAAAGAGATTAAAAGAGTGGAAAAAGATGAAATTTTATAAAATGAATACCAATGGAACAAGAGGGCACGGATGGACGATTGTGACTCAGATGTGTCGTAGAGATGAGTGAAAGTTTTTTTTTTTGGCGTAAGAACATTGACCAAATGAAATGTCCAACAGAAGCAGGTAAAGTAAATTCACAACTTTAAAAGCAGGTATGATAGGGAACTAGGCCAGGAGTCATTGCATTAGACAACCAGAGGTTAGAAAAAGCTGGGTGGCAAAGCTGGAGCTCGATCCTGCAGGCATAAATACATGAGAACATATAGGTGAGTTAACACACACACACACACACACACACACACACACACACACACACACACAACTAACCTTGAACATTGAGGTAGAACAACATGGAGATCCTTGGGTCGGTGTTGACTTGACACTGATACTCTCCCGAGTCCCTCACTTGGCTGAACCTGTCAACAACGCCAGCCCTCGTTAGTCTTACTACACTAATTACTCTTACTACACAAGTTACTCTTACTCTACTAGTTAGTCTTACTCTAATAGTTAGTCTTACTACACTAGTAAGTCTTACTCTACTAGTTTGTCTTACTCTAATAGGTAGTCTTACTACACTAGTTAGTCTTACTGTGCTAGTTAGTTGTACTTCACTAGTAAGTATTCAAGCACTAGTTATTCTTACTACACTAGTTAGTATTACTCTAATAGTTAGTCTTACTGCACTAGTTATTCTTACTACACTAATTAGTCGTACTACACTAGTTATTTTCTCTGCACTAGTTACTCGTACTGCACTAGATAGTCTTACTTCTCTAGTTAATCTTAATTCACTAGTTATTTTTACAGCACCATGTAATCTTACTACACTAGTTGACGATGTTTAAATTAATAAATAAATTATTTATTGATTTAAAAATCTTACATCACTAGTTGGTCGTACAGCACAGACTCTTTCTCTATGATCACCTGATGTTTATATTTATAAGTTTGTGTTGAAGAAGATTTTATAGATTCTCATTACTTACCCCTTGATCTAGACGCGTTGCCGGATATTAAGCTTCAGAAGTGTTCAATATTGTTTTGATTGTTGTTTTGTTTTAGACATTATTGTGATTTTTTATGATATGTCATTATATTATTCTGGTTTGGATGTATTGTTCATATTTTTGTTTTGTTTTAGATGTATTTTTCATATTTTTGTTTTGTTTTAGATGTATTTTTCATATTTTTGTTTTGTTTTAGGTGTATTTTTCATATTTTTGTTTTGTTTTAGATGTATTGATCATATTTTTGTTTTGTTTTAGATGTATTTTTCATATTTTTGTTTTGTTTTAGATGTATTGATCATTGTTTTAATATCTTTTAGATGAGTTGACTAATAACTTGTAATGTTTTCATCAACATTACAAGATATTACTCGAAAGACTAAGTGGTTTCTCCTGATAATTGCCTCACCTGCACTTTCGACCTAAGCGAAAATGATGAACGAATGTGTGCAACAGGAGGGGCAATGGTGAAGCCCTTTGTACCCTTCTGCAACCCTCTTAAACCCTTGGATCTCTTGGTTGATTGATATAGGCATTCTGGCTCGCTTAGATATAAATGTAAAGAGTGTTTGAGAACGTAGTCTTCAACGCTTCAACCTATCTTGAACCTTAAAGTGATAACTGATCTTCAGACTGCGTATGGGCGTTTCTATATAAACTCTGACACGAGCAATGTGCCATTATACCTACCCTAGATGTGATGACCAGAATCAAACGTCAGAAAATGAAGAAATGACGACGTTTCGGTCCGTCCTGGACCATTGACGTCGTCGTCTCTCCGTTGTCTGATGTGTGCTTTGGTCCTGATATCTACAGTCACGTTATTGTGATTCATCGTCAATCTTGATGTTAAGGCGGAGGGATTTGAAGTGTACTTTGATTCCTATTAGTGAATGATATGAAGTTTTTTTTTTAAGTTATTGATGATATGGTGGCTCTTTCGTAATTTCCATCAGGAGTTTCTCTGAAAACAAAAATTCCGAATATGTATTCTTCTAGTTAATGCTTCCAATCTTAGGCCACAGTGAAATTGTCAGGGCGTCTAGCCTGGATGAGGACTTGATCAAGTCTTATAGAAAAGCCGTCTTAAAATCCTTCAAAAAGAAATGAGAACCAGCAATAGTTAGGCCAATAAATTTTGGCTCTCAGGGTCTTTCGATGTGAAAATTAACTTTAAGTTCGTTTCTCAGAGCATACGGTTTTGACAATCCACTTATAGTTTGTTTCTCAGCTTATGCGGTGTTGCAATCTTCTTAAGGTGTGACTCTCGGCTTGCACAGTGTGGCAATCTACTTAAATATTATCTCTTCTTTTAAATGGTGAGACACTCCACTTAAATTTTGTCACTCACCTAATGCGATGAGACACTTTACTTCCTCGTCTTCTCTTGTAATTCTAGAAGTCAAGCGTTCAGCTTTAAACCTCTAATTTCCTTTTCTGGATATTTGAGACAGTAATTCCTCTTCCTTGGGTCTTTATTACGCTAAGGCCCTCTATGTGTCGTCTGGACCTGCGTAGTGAGGGCCTTATGAGTCCAGCCACACTCACACCTCATCATATACCTCTACCGGGTCTTGACAGTGGTCTTTATTGATTACGTTAGTAAAGAACGAGCTCTACTATCTCGTAACTGTTTTCATTTTTCTTTGTTAAAGGTTAGGAGTTTATTATTTATTAATCATCTTACTTTATTATTTCATCTAACTCCGCTTTCATTCTTCAGAAGCAGTTAAAAAGACTATTTATTATTAACCTGGTAAGTAAAGTCTGTGATTCATTATTTCATAACTGTGTTTTTATTTGTTAAAAAAAAAGGTTAGGCGGCTGTTATTTATTAATAACGTTAGTAAAGTTCTTGGTCCACCTGTCCATGGGTTTATTTTAAATAATTATACGATTTATAAAGTTGATCTTCATTGATTACATTAGTAAACAGAGTGGCGCCTCCATCAATAGGCTTTACTCTCTTTGATGGAGGCTACTGGAACAAAAAGTGAAAAGACTATGATATGAAAAGAACTTGATGAATCTATAACTTGATGAATCTATAACGTGATGAATCTATTACTTGATGAATCTATAACGTGATGAATCTATAACTTGATGAATCTATAACGTGATGAATCTATTACTTGATGAATCTATTACTTGATGAATCTATAACTTGATGAATATATAACGTGATGAATCTGTAACGTGATGAATCTAGAACGTGATGAACCTATAACTTGATGAATCTATAACGTGATGAATCTATAACTTGATGAATCTATAACTTGATGAATATATAACTTGATGAATCTATAACTTGATGAATCTATAACTTGATGAATATATAACGTGATGAATCTATAACTTGATGAATCTATAACGTGATGAATATATAACTTGATGAATCTATAACGTGATGAATCTATAACGTGATGAATCTATAACGTGATGAATCTATAACGTGATGAATATATAACTTGATGAATCTATAACGTGATGAATCTATAACGTGATGACTCTATAATGTGATGAATATATAACTTGATGAATCTATAACTTGATGAATCTATAACGTGATGAATCTATAACGTGATGAATCTATAACTTGATGAATCTATAACGTGATGAATATATAACTTGATGAATCTATAACGTGATGAATCTATAACGTGATGACTCTATAATGTGATGAATATATAACTTGATGAATCTATAACTTGATGAATCTATAACTTGATGAATGTATAACGTGATGAATCTATAACGTGACGAATCTATAACGTGATGACTCTATAATGTGATGAATATATAACTTGATGAATCTAGAACTTGATAAATCTATAACGTGATGAATGTATTACGTGATGAGTCTATAATGTGATGAAGCTATAACGTGATGAATCTATAACTTGATGAATCTATAATGTGATGAAGCTATAACTTGATGAATCTATAACGTGATGAATCTATAACGTAATGAATATATAATGTGATGAATATATAACTTGATGAATCTATAACGTGATGAATCTATGATATTGAGGCTGCACGATGAACTCCTACCCCCCAAGACGCACGCACTCAAAACTTGGAGAGTGCGTGTGTGTGTGTACCGGCTGTTGTCCTCAGAGCACCATGTAAAGTGAGATGCTTCTAATACCATCATGGTCCAGTTGGTACTGCGTGTGTCTGGGAGGGCCAGGGACTTGGGATCCGCCCCCACCGTACGGCCTTACTAATTTTTGTTTTATTAAATAAAATTATCTACAAGTTATGAGTTTACTGATTAGCTTTGAAATCTCTAAAATTTACAACTGCAAATAAATAAGTTTTGTGGAGATAGGATATAAGAGCTGGGATGTGAAGATAGGATATAAGAACTGGGATGCGATGACAGGATAATAACTGGGATAGACGGACAATGGGAAGGACAGGCGACAAACAGTCAAGGCTCGAACGCCGACCTCCGAGCAGCGAGGCCGGCGCTTTGTACCGTCCAAACCAAGAAAACACTATTATGCCACTATTTACAAAATAGTAACCTCCTCCCCCCCCCTTTTCACTATTTTGGCTGTTTTAGCTGAATAAAAAAAAAGTTAAAGGTGAGCATCTGAAATAATCCTTGATAGTTAACGTGATTGCCTGTGGGGGGCTATTGGGCCCGAATTAGGTGGTAGTAATTATACCCCGCTAGGCCCATCAGCATCTTAATTACTCTGAGTGATCCATCCGGGGGTCATTAGCGAGCAATTGCGTGACTCTTTTTTTTTTTTTTTGGCTGCAATGCTCGAGTCGGGTTCTGACTTTCCTCTTCATTGTGTTCAGAACCTTGTTGGTATTTTGGTTGTGTCGAAGTTTCGAACACAGCTCTGGTGTTCTACGTGTACGCGCGCGCACACACACACACAGACACACACACACACACACACACGGTGTTCATATGTACACACACAGTTATGTACCACTGGTGTTCTAATATTAACATTCAAGGTGTTCTTACGTACACCACTGGTGTTCTAATTTACATATCCCGGTGTTCTAATTTACATATCCCCGGTGTTCTAATTTACATATCCCCGGTGGTCTAATTTGCATATCCCCGGTGTTCTAATTTACATATCCCCGGTGGTCTAATTTACATATCCCCGGTGGTCTAATTTACATATCCCCGGTGGTCTAATTTACATATCCCCGGTGTTCTAATTTGCATATCCCCGGTGGTCTAATTTACGTATCCCCGGTGGTCTAATTTACATATCCCCGGTGTTCTAATTTACATATCCCCGGTGGTCTAATTTACATATCCCCGGTGTTCTAATTTACATATCCTCGGTGGTCTAATTTACATATCCCCGGTGTTCTAATTTACATATCCCCGGTGTTCTAATTTGCATATCCCCGGTGGTCTAATTTACATATCCCCGGTGGTCTAATTTGCATATCCCCGGTGGTCTAATTTACATATCCCCGGTGGTCTAATTTACATATCCCCGGTGGTCTAATTTACATATCCCCGGTGGTCTAATTTACATATCCCCGGTGGTCTAATTTACATATCCCCGGTGTTCTAATTTGCATATCCCCGGTGTTCTAATTTACATATCCCCGGTGTTCTAATTTACATATCCCGGTGTTCTAATTTACATATCCCCGGTGTTCTAATTTACATATCCCCGGTGTTCTAATTTACATATCCCCGGTGTTCTAATTAACATATCCCGGTGTTCTAATTTACGTATCCCTGCGTTCTAATATACACAGGTCCAGTATTCTAATGTTAACACCCAAGACGGTCAAATAAACCGCTCTCTCTCTCTCTCTCTCTCTCTCTCTCTCTCTCTCTCTCTCTCTCTCTCTCTCTCAGGTTACCTAATGATGATCCCCGCAAATCATCAAAAATTTTTACTCATGTGTCTCTCTGGCTATTCATCAAACCTCTAATTATTCCTCACCTAATATGAAGAGTCCAGTTCTCGGAGCGGTCGGCGTGGAGAGCGAGGAACCGCTGGTCTGAGGCGAAGGTGTGTACTCCAGAGGTCAGCACGTGGAGGTCCCTCCGTCTGATCCACGACACCTGTTGGGGCAGACGGAGGCGTTCACGGGTCGCGCCGATAGGTCGTTGGGGGGAAGGAGAGTGCGGGAGGAGGTCGTTGGGGGAGGGAGAGTGCGTGAGGTGGTCGTGGCGGGTCGTTGGGGGAAGGCGAGTGAGGGAGGTGGTCGTGGCGGGTCGTGGGGGGGGAGGGAGAGTGCGGGAGGTGGTCGTGGCGGGTCGTTGAGGGAGGGAGAGTGCGTGAGGTGGTCGTGGCGGGTCGTTGCGGGAGGGAGAGTGCGGGAGGTGGTCGTGGCGGGTCGTTGAGGGAGGGAGAGTTCGGGAGGTGGTCGTGGCGGGTCGTTGGGGGGAACAACTTTGGGAAGATGGTGAAAGGTTGGGGTGGTGCGGGGGGGGGGGTAATATGGGAGTCTGGTCTGTTTATACAGGAGAAAAACTCGTTCTGGGGAGAGCATGAGGGGAGTAGTTGGGTTATTTTGGTTGATCGTGAGGGAGAGTTTGTGGGTTATTTTGGAAAATTAGTGGAAACGACCCACTCCGAGATGTTGTGAGGAGCTGCAAGTGAGATTATTATTAAAAATTCATGTGGAACAAATTTCTATGGCAAGTATAGGAATTATATTGTTATAAATTATTCACCAACAGTTTAACTAATACGGCTCAAGTCTTCTTGGCAGCTCTTGCACCACCAACTTCAAAGAATCCGTCAAATTATTGTAAACAACGATTACAGCAATACAGAATTCGACGAAATCGTTAGTAAGAAGGTATAAGCGGCTATCTGACTGAGGATAATCAGCCCCCAGGGGTGGAAAATCATACATTTATTCAGGCATAAGAAGAATGAAAAGGTGATATAAGATATAATTGACAGGAATTTTGAGCCTTGCAGTGAAAATGCAAGGATTCATCCTATCATTTATAATACCAACCCTCGGATATCTTCCCTCATTATGAGAAATAACATCTCTGCCTCCTCTGACAAACTGAGGTGTACTAATGTAGTGTATCAATACAAATGCAGCTCTGGAGACTGTGCCCTCCGAAATATATGCTACATTGGACAGTCCACGATACACTGAATAGACGTCTTACACTTCATTTGCAAGACGGATGTATTAAACAACATTCTCAACACCACAACACCATCCTGATCCGCCAAGATATAGTGAAAGATACGACAATAATCACACGCACCGACGATCGTAGGAGGCTTTGTACGCTTGAGACTGTCTTCATTTGGGAGCTGACACCATTCGGGAGCTAATCAACATGTAGATAAATTCGACTTCGAGCATATAGCTGTTCGATGGTCCTCCACTGATCCAGAGGGAAGATGGAAGACCTGGCGGACAGCTAGAAGCCGGAGTCAAGCAACAATCACCTCACCCTATAAACGTACAAAATCTGGACTGTTAGCTATGTGTAACAGTCTGTATTTTGTGCCAATATATCTCCAGGCGCACAGGAACTGCCTTGTGTGGGCCAGTCCCAGAAAATACACAACCAAACTACAGTATCTTTAAAAGATTATTATGTTGTTAAACATTTGTTACAACCGCGTTACTCCATAATATCAATTAAGGTAACATTGCGAACAGGGATATAGGCCTTATATAGTGTTCACTTGAATTATGTCAAATGTTCACTGTTCAAAGTGCGACTTTGTGAAATGTCTTGAAGCCTAATAATGTGAGATTTGTTGTAAACGATCTCTGAAATAAACAAAATCTTACCTGCAGAAACAGATCCGAGGCAACAGACGACGCTGAGAAGAGCCCAGAGGAGCCAGCGGCCCTCCGCCACCATAGCGGAGGACGTCTGCAGGTTCCTGCCCTCAAGGTGATGGTCCCTCGCTACTGTCGGCGGCAGAGATATGGCTCCCCCTCCGGCAAGGAATCGATATGACGCTTCCTTAAGAAGTAGTGGCCAGGCAGCAAGCCAGTCTGGTCACGGCTGGGAAGTTTATTCCTGGACGGCAATGACCCGAGTCCTCCTCTGGTAGCTGCCACCGTTGATCACCGAGCCATTCGTTCACAAACAAGAGGCAGATGACTTTAAAATCAGTATCATCACAGAATCTAACGTGGTATCGCAATACTTCAGAGTCACTCTGACTTCGTTAGATAATCTGAGTTGTGTTAGGTAATACGCGAAGTCGCTATTTATTGTCTGTGGTGAGGGTATTCAAAATGTGACATCTATGTGCGACTGGAGTGGTGTGACATCAGTATATAAAGGGTTCATAGAGCCGCCATAGACAAAGCATCATAGAGACAAGAGGTTCGAAGAGCCCCAAGTATGGCAGGTATTTGTGTAAACAAAAGAGCCTCAAGTCACACACTCCTGTCTGGCACTTACACAACACATCATAATTACTATCTCTTCATGACTCACTGTTTTTCATACCAATAATTTTACCGTGTAGTTTGCATACCACATAATACCTCATTTTGATCAGGTTTTCAGGTGTAGATCAACTCCAGCTCTGCATTTGCCTATAAAGAAATGTGTTTTGATTATTAAATAAAATATAATTCGAGTATTTACACATTCATAAAGATATATATATTTATATATATATAATATATATATATATATATATATATATATATATATATATATATATATATATATATTATATATATATATATATATATATATATGACAATGTCAGACCACGGAGGAAAAATGAAACAGGAATTTCCTTAAGTACTTTCGTATATTAAATACATCTTCAGAAGGTCAATACACCTTCTGAAGATGTATTTAATATACGAAAGTACTTAAGGAAATTCCTGTTTCATTTTTCCTCCGTGGTCTGACATTGTCACATACTTAATCACGTGTTTATTTTCCTGTAGACATATATTATTAAATATGACCGAAAAAGTAAGATTAATAATTCTAACACGAAATTTCTCGATCTTTCGTACGTTTCTTTTCACTGTTGGTGGTAATTCAAAAATCAATTCTCCAAAATTCATTTTTATTTCTAGTCTGACGCGACACTTGAGCGCGTTTCGTAAAACTTATTACATTTTCAAAGACTTTAGTTTACACATACACAACTGAATAGAACTTACACATCTTCGATTTGTTTATATCTACATTTGAGTGAGGTGGATGGGGTGAGGTGGTATAATAGGGTTTTAAATTCCTAAACACAAGACGGAACACGAAACAATGGTATTGAATGTCCATATTCCATATTTCTTGATGCTTCTAT